AACTGCAATATTCTACAATGTTGCCATTGGTTGGAAAGATTTCACGCAACAAGTTGCAATCATGAAGCTACCTAAAGTTTCCAGGGTCAACATTATTAAACAACACTCAAATAGAAAAACCTACAAAAGCCTAACAATGCATTAAACGTCCTGTCAGTACAACTGGCTCAATAATATGCAAGAGGAAACCTCATGAAATCCCAACTAATCATCCCCAAACAGGTGTGCGATGGAAGATCTCTCTCAGACTAATGATAAAGAAGGTACGAGAGACACCAGCAGTCACTTGAAAAGAGCTGCAGGACAACCTGAAAGCAGCAAGAACAACACTAGCGGTTAGCAGTGATCTGCACTGCAATCATGGCTACACTAACACAGCAGGTAAAAGTGGCCCAAATCTTTCTCACCAAATTCGATTTTTTTGTTTGGCTGTTCACAATATCTTTTAAATGTGACCTGTATGTGACATGAGTCTAAACAGATCATGCACCTAAACTGACCCGACAGTCATTAGCGCAAAAGAACAATGCTTCACGTTGCTTCACGTGGCTCATCCAGAGGTAAACAATCATAACTGCCAACGAATGCCAGTTGCTCCAGGAGCTTCCAGTTTCATATTTGCCAGCATCACAGGAGCGATCATGAATCTTCACTGACTGACAGCTGGGCTCATCACTCAGGACGTGTTCGAGCTGGCCGTAAAAAAGGCAAGGCCACTTGTTTGGCTCGTGTCCTTGGATTCTTTAAACTTTGATTTCACTTTTAACTGTTTTTTTGCCACGTTTGGCCATTTCTTTCAAAATCTCTTTGAACATGGAGGGTCTGGAATAAGTCTCTTCTAATTTATAGAAACATCACCCCAAATGTTTATGAGGTCTCAGCACCGCAAAATTACAATGAATGCCGAGTTGGATTGACGTATGAGTTCTGATCTGGCTGTTCAGACTGAGTTGATTGCCGCGTATCGTATACTTACTGGAAAGCGTCTCAAATTGGAATTGAAAATTTCAGATTCAAAGAGTTTTTTGCTGTTCACACTGACACACAGAGAACACATTTGTGTTACATATGAAGAAAAAGATCAGATTTGGGCCACTTTTACCTGCTGTGTGAACAAAGTCCATGTCTGTTTCTTCACTGCACTCCTCTGCAAAAAAGAAGCAAAATTTGCACACAAGCATTTAGACAAATCAGAACTCTTCTGTTACTGCACTCTAGATAGATAAAACAAGTATTGAACAATAATTCAGCTAAATTTAGGGTTGCACGTATGATCCCAAGAACATCATGCCCACAGTGAAGTACGAAGGTGGGAGCATCATTATATGGGGCTGCTTCTTTGCAAACCATACTGGGCCATTACATGTCACTGAATGAAGCATGAATGGAGCAATGTACCAGGACACAAAGGAGAATTTTATCTCATTGGTCAAGAAACTGTATCTGGTCATTTCAACAAGACAATGACCCCAAACATACAGCTTCTTTCCAGTCATCGCCATTTCAACAATAAAGTTTGGTCAGTAGGGGGAGCAGTGCACTCACTGCTCAATCTCAATGCTGTCATTTTATTGGCTCCCAACAAAACATCAGCATGAATTAGGGTGTGGTTCATGTAAATGATATGTACATGAGGTACTGGTAGGCTGGTGCTTGTTTTCATGACCTGAAGCTGATCCACTATTGGTGCTTAAATCTCCACTTGTTTCAGATCAATCAGGTGACGATTAGTTTATACGTCATTAAATCTGCACATCTTTGATGGATAAGGGCCATTATGAGTGTAAATCCAAACTGCATATATGCACTGGAAGTATATTACATCACAAAAATAAAAGTATCTGAAGACTTATTTCCCATCACTATATCTAATCAACTGGCTGAAGTCTGAGGCCAACTGACTAAACAAGTGGAATCAGGTTTTCTTGATTAGAATAAAATCCTGTAGCCACTTCAGCATCAGAAAAGATGACCCCTGTTCCACGGCATTGCTCCATTACTCTTTTGAACAGGTTTACATGTTTGAGATCAGTTATGTTATGAAGCATATTAGAGCAGGAATGCATATATAAGGCCTAATTTTGACATCATTGCAACCAGATCTCTTCAGCTGCTTTAGAATTCACAGTGAGTTCAGGCGTCACGCTCTACTGTAGCCTTTGTTGTTGTGATGATGTGCTGAATGGGTATAATTTAATTTTCACAACCCCTGCTCAGCTGTGGTTTGAGGCCAAAGCTAGTGTTGGCTATATTTTATTTAATGTTGAGGGCGGTGGAAACAATGACAGCGCTGAGACCATCATCGTAGCGCACTCTCCCCACATGCATGAAGCATGATAACACAAAAGGACTTCCATTTGAGAAGATAATGGATATCACCATATGGCTAAGTAGGCTAGCTTTTAACAGCATTCGCTGGTCTGCTGTAGCAATACAGACTGTTCAGTGTCACTTATCTGTCAATTCTGCACTCTCATGCTCCTTTTCAGTGGTTATGGATAGCGTAGGTTAAAGTAATCCAAAAATAACGTACGTACAGTAAAACTAGGCGCTAGCTCAGTATTGCGCTACTGAGCTTTCTGTATGTAGAGTGCTCTTGAAGATGACATTAGTTAAAGGGAGTGGGTTTCAAACGCTCAACATATTTATTTTATTTAAGCACCCATTTATATCTTTCACAGCTGCTTTTATTCTGGCACCTCATTGCTTTGTAATGCAAATCTGAGTTCAAAGTGAGACAGGATCCATCTAACGCAGATTGACAGGGACAAATAAGGTCATTTCGGTGCGGGTGCCCCCTCCGCCTGTTCTCCACCTGTGCACTTTTTTCTTACCCAGCACACACAGCGGTACATGACTGTACCAGGCTTCCAGCACATCTGACTGGCGTCTGCAGGGACGGCTGCCACCCCACAGAGGTGAAATGAAAGATGCAGCGGCGGGCACAGCAACGCAGCAGTTTCATCAGCCTAACCAGAACGGATGCTCGCTCTTCTATTATTAAAAACTCCCTTCGCTTAGAAACTACCAGAGGAGGGAGAGAGAGAAAAAAGTGATATGTGATATTATGAAATTTGTGTGCTTTGTCGTATAAGACTGCAGGTCGAAGGTAATTGGATTTCTCTTGCTTACTGTGGTTACTTCGCATCAAATAAATAGATGTTTTTTACAGGGACCATTAGCAGTTATGTCTCAGGCCTTTTCTTTGTGGTTATGCCTATGGCCTTATTAAAATATGCAGGTCCATAAGGTAGAGGTAATTACATTTCAAGCAGTATAGGGCCTCTAAGCATAGGAGATCTCCCTGGATTAGAGGCGCGAGGCGATGACACAGCGCAAGTGAATTAGTCATGCAACAGTTCCCCCTGTCGTAGGAATTTTGGCGTTCAAAGCAATTTAATGAATAGCTCGGAGCCAATAGGTGTTTAATGAATAACATTTCAAATAACCCCAGTAAAGGTTAAATGTGACAGAAAAAAAAAGTTAAGCAGCAAAAATGTTCAACAAGTATGAATTTGAAGACCAATATTTGTTTTGCATTTATCCGTGCATCTAATTTCACTGTGCATAGGCTGAAAGGACATTTATTCATGCTCCTTTTCGATATTTATTCCGCTTTCATTACCTCATTAAATCAAGCAAGTGATCTTCATTATCCAAACCAAACATTTACAGAGTTTAGCAGCTTTTCTTTCCTTCTGATATTTGCTTTGCTCAACGAAAATAAACAGAGTGCCTTTCTTCTTCTTCTTCTTCTTCTTCTTCTTTAAAATGCAGAGCCTCTTTCAAGCGTAAATAATCTCTTTTTTCTGCAAAAACTACACCAGTTGTGAATCCAATGGTAGAAGGCATAACTCGGTACAGAACATACTTCACCACATCAAAAACATGAGTCAAACCATTACTCAAGATTTTCTGGATGAGGCTGACAGCAATTACTACTGATATTTTGTATAAATAGACTCCTTTTCCTGGCGGGGAGATTGCACTCAGCCATGTCATGAGATTTAGCATAGCCACTTTAAAACCGGCATCCTTCAAAACATTCTTCTGAGACTGTTGCAAGGAGATTTTAGTTTGACTGACAGCCTCTGTGTAGGCCAAACCCTCATGATCTCTTCACCTAGCAAAACATATCGCCTTCTACAAGGTCACGACTCCTAAAACTGGCACAAAGGGTACTGTGCAGTATCCTGTAAAAGAAGCTAAAAGAGCTGAATAAACCAGTTATGGGCCGAGGCAGAGAGACACAGTCCATCTCCCCCATTAAATACAACACATTATGGGTGGAGAGAAGGAGACCATTTTCCTTCCTCTCTAATGGTTCTTGCCGATCAATACATCATTAGTATGCTCTGTGATTTTGAAAATGAACACTCCTCAGTCTTTTGACGTTATTTTTGCTTAGCTCTGACAAGCTAAATAAAGTTAATGCCTGAAATATGACACTAAAACCAGCCCTGATTTAACAGCAGGAAAAATATACTTGATATAGAAAGTGCCAATATGCGGCACAGTCATTACTACTAATGATGGCAGCCATAACAAGATAATGTATAATCATGAAAGATAAAATGTTTGATAGTGCCTCAGTGCTCTGGGCTTTGCAAGTGAAAACTATGGTAGCAATTCAAAGGCTGTTAAGTGACTCAGTGCAGCAGAACAAACAGAAAAAAAATAATGAGGTGTGTTATTTCATGAGACCAAAGAAAAGTGAATGAAAGTATGCTGCAGTTTAATGAATTTGGTTAAGGAACCCTTGACTCCTGGATCGGAGTCTAATGTATCTTATTCTCAAATGCGTTCCTAGATTAGAAAGCAAAAAGGCCTTAGGCCATTGATACCCATCTAAGACACTACTCAAAGGAGTCAAGGGTGCTTATCCTCCATCTACTTATAATGAATGGCATGCACAATGAAAAATTTTACCTCTGTAATCCAGAGCCGTTTCATTTGTTTTGATTTGATTTGATTTTAGGCTGCCTTTGACATTGTCATACCTCGCATTCCCTGGAGCCGGAAATGGTACAGGTGCAAGTACCAGTCCCATTGGCCAGCACATCCATGGCTTCCGGTGTGGCGGCAGGATTGTAGCTCATGTAATATTCCTGCAGTTGGGAGCTCAGGTTCTGCTCTGGCTCAGGACTCTTTTTCCGACGCTTTCGTCCCATGACTGAACGCTGTTGCAGCAACCTAGTGGCACCAGGGTACCGTCTGCAGGACACATAGATCACTGTCAGGACGAGCGACGTTGAGAAGAAAAGCACCACGGCTCCCACCACGACCTTGTGGAATGCTAAGTTCTCTTGTTCTGGGGATGGAGTGACGAGCAGGCTGTTGGAGGGTGGAGGCGTCTGTGGAGGGGTGTTTCTAGGATGAGTCTCAGCGAGGTTGTAGATAGTAGGATGAGGAAGGGGTTGAGCTAGGGGTGGTGGTATGGGTGCTTCAGAGGCAGGTGGAGGCAGGGGTGGAGGGGGAGTAGTGGGAGGCAAGGGTGGTGCAGAAGTAGTTTCCATTGTTGGTTCCAGAGTGTGGTGAGGAAATGGTGTTTGAGGAATGAGTTCGAAATCTTCACAGTCTATGTAATTTCTTGTCGCCTCCATAACCTTTTCCCCTTGAAGATGTTTGGGGCTGCTGCAAATGATACTTGTATCTTTAGTTCCTCGGAAATTCCTTAGCCAGGCAACAAGGGGGCAAATGCCTGGCCCACAGTCCCACATGTTTCCCGCGAGGCTGATTGTAGTCAGGGAAATCCAGGCTGCCACAGTCTCATGAGACACATTGGCTAACTTGTTAGACTCCAAGTTAAGAACCTGTAGGTTTGGTAGGCATTGAAATACCACAGGATCCAGACTCTGGATCTCATTGCCGGAGAGGTCCAGCTTTTGCAGGGTATACCAAATCCATGGGAGGCCTTGGTTCACTGCCCGAATACGATTCCACTGGAGATACAGACCACGCAGGTTTGCGAGGCGTGGAAAGAGAAAGAAGTTGATCCGAGAGAACTGATTGTGTTCCAGATGGAGCTCCATCAGCCTAGACAAACCCAGGAATGCGGTGCGTGTGAGGACACGTAGTCGGTTATACCCTAGGTCGAGAAACTCCAAGCTTCTGCACTCAATAAACGCCCGGACAGGAATTGTTGTAAGCCCGTTGGAGCGTAGGTGCAGATTCTGAAGCTTCCGAAGACCATGGAACTGACCTGGTTGCAGTTCCTGAAGTTTGTTGTAGGAGAGGTCCAGGCTGCGGAGATTAGGCACTCCATGAAAGGTGGAATTATGGAGTTGTGAAATCCTGTTGGTGCTCAAGATCAACTCCTTAAGTCGTCGTATGCCCTGGAAGGCACGACTGTCCACAAACGAGATCTGATTGTGATCCAAATACAGCCAGAGGAGCTGGTTAAGGTGGGCAAACTGGTAGGGGAGCATTGTGTGCAGGTCATTGTTGCGCAGGGACAAACCTTGACAAGTTACTGAAATGTTCTCTGGCACATCCATGAAAGACGCTGAATCACAATGGACGATTTTACCTTCACAGCGGCAGTTGTAGGGACATGTTTTCTCCCCGGAGCAGAGCAACAGAAGAGTGGAGGCAAGCAGAGGGAGGAGGCATGCTAATCTCCTAGCACAAACCATAGCACCTGTGGAGAGAAAACAGCATGATATGAGGAACAAACATACATCACAGCGCGACACAAAAGGTGCTAACATTACTAATAATGCATGAAAGATAGCAGGGGTTGTCCGACAGTGTTCACAGATCTTTTTCCTTAAGAACACAGCAGGCCAGGAGATAGCAAAGAGAGTTTTTTTTTTGATTATGCTAACCAGTACCCACTAGCTTTCACAGTTAATTAACAAAGTTGCTATTTTGGAGTAATATTCCATAAAGGAACACTCTAGCCAAAATAAAAAACCTCACTACATCTGTTGTAAACATCTTTACTAACCTTGTACAGCACAGTTCTCCAGTTTAAAGACTAAAACAACCACCTTCTCATGATGCATCATGAAAGTGGGAGGAACCTTTGACAAACTACCACTGTTTTGGGTGGATTTTTGGGGATGTTGTTTGAAATATATATATTTTTTTCACTAGCTGGTGAATTAAGAAGAAAGGGAGATGTTAGTATAAAGAAAAGCAACTGTCTTTAAATCATCCTTACAATGGAGAGAGTGAATTAAACAAACGACAGAAAGGAAGTGTCAGATGAGGAGGTCAACAAGCTAAATGCTACAATTAGCAATGTGCCTGGTTATCTAAATACTTTAACTCAATTTGGCACCTTTTCTTTGAATGAAAGAGTAAAAATTTGCCTCTATTTTGTGTTCAACAAAGACAGAATCACTGTTTTCTTTACAATATTGTTCGACATAGTAAGAGTTAAACTACCGCTATCTTAACATCATTTATTAGCCTATGGATCAGTGTCTAGGCTAGCAGTTGGGACAGGTTGACACCACAGGCATTCCCAATGGTTGTATGATGTATTTGTGTAATGAATGCAGGATATTGTAGTGAAAGAACATTGATAAATGAAAACTATTTCAAATTGTGAACTCTGTCAAACCGATGACGCTGAGGGATGCAATGCTATGCTACAGAATATTACACAGCATGACAAACAACAGCATAAATGCTAGGCCAAAATGCTCCTATAGGAAAACTTAAATCTTACATTATTTTCAACACGTATACAAACAAAGACCTTTAAAATAAAACACATACATTGTACGGAAGCATGATAGTCATAAAATGATTTCTCAGTGTGACATCATGGTCTGTAGGCTGGCTTCAAATCACTAATAAAAGTGGTATATATGGCTTCCTGGAGCCAAGCAAAAAGCCTACGAGATCAGAGTTAATAGTGCTGAACCGTGGACAATTCCTCTTCTTTTCTTCTTCTGATAGCAAAGCTTTTGATCTATAACCTTCATGTGTTCACTCTTTGGGAGCTACAAAGACATCATATTTCTTGGTGGCTTAAAAAAGGAACCGTTCTCTAGGAGGTGTTATAATTAAGGTGTCATGCTGTCCAGCACAGAGAACTTAGATCTAGTTGCTAACATAACACAGATAATACAGAACTGCTGTAACAGCCCCAACTCTGCAGGAGGAAGCTGTCTGTGGAGCTGATTTCTCTGACAGTTCGGCAGTGCATTTCTAGTATCTCGGACAATCTACCACAAAACCACAGATCTCATTTTTACTAGTTTTTGCTGGTCCTGTGCGGTGCCACTGTATGACTCAGTATCTTAGCCAGGCAGAAGTCCAAGGTTTTCTACACTCTAGAAAACCAGATTCATCTCAAGTGCTTGGTGATTAACATATGAATCCATCAACATGTATAATTTGTGCAAGATTTAAATATGTCCTATATTACTATAGAACATAATGTGCATATTTAACTAATGTGTGATTGCTAAGTGGCTTAAAAGGCACCTTAATATTCTAGTGAATTAATTAGCACAGATGCCTTAAAATTCTCTCGTACCATCAATAAGACGCTGCCAGTCTTTTCCACAAAAAGTGAATGGTGGCTCTGAAGTATTATGTCAACCTATTGTGTCTTTTTGGGCCATTACATCAACCTAATAGCTACTACAGTTTGCCTCATACTGGGCAATTCATGCCAAAAAAGGACAGAGTAAAGTGGGCAATTTGTTTTATTGGGGGCTGGCATCCAGCAATGCTGAAAAGAAAAGCAGAAATTACTTTTGAATGATCATATACAGTAGAGCAAAACCCTGCAGTTTAAGATCCATGCAAGTTGCACTGTATGTCTCTACAGCCCTAGCAGACACTAAGAGAGAAGGGCAGGAGTTGTCCAAGCATACGTTGCAAATTACACAGTCATCAGTTTTGCCTAAACTGTGGTCCCAGTGGTGCTGTTAGCAAATTTCTGTAAGAGGCAGAGTGAGAGATTGCCGCCGTCCTCATAATCTCATAATGCCCCGCCGCCCCATCTAATGCATTTCATACGGGCTCACGAGTTATGGAGACCAATTCCGTATCCGCGCTAATCAGATATCATCCGAGGCCATCACAATTAGCATGTAGCTACTCGATATATATCTCTGTTCGAACATGTGGCAATAAAAACCATTACAGCGGCTATTACATGTCCTCGGAGAGCGTTGGAAATGAAAACAAATGGCTAGAAGACGTCACTCCAAGTTGAAAATTGCCCCATCGACTGTTAGCGGTTGTTAAACCTGACTGCTAATCTGTCAGGTACGTGATCTTCCTCACTGATCAAAAAGCATGCACATTTGTCAGAGTGATGTGACTGACGTAAAAGGGCCAGGGCCACACTGTGGCAAACTCAAAACAAGCAGGCCGACCATAGCGACAGATTTCATGGAGGCTTGAATGAATCAATACAGTGATCAAAAATTCAGCAAAACAAATCTGTTCAACTCCACCAGCACACAAATGGAAATATGAATCTGGACAGCAGACACACACAAACAACACAGATTCTTTGACTGTAGCTGCAAAGTAACCTACGCTGTCTGCTACTACTGGACAACAGCCGTGTGCCAAAGTTTGAGCACCCCAGTTAAATGACATTCTTTGTGGATTTTCTAAGTGGAAATAAGTCAACATATCATCGACAAAGAAAACAGTACATTCTTCTGTCAATTTAGTTTCTATTTACTTGAGTTTATCATATTGGAAAAAACATAAAACTATGTAAGTATAAAATGTTCCATAAACTCTTATCCTCTTTATTTTTCCCCCTGTATGTTAAATTAAATGACTGTACATATGTGTATATAAATATAAACATGCACCTGCACAGAAAAACTTTCTGCATTATACTCTAATTACTTAACACCCTACAGGTAAGTTATCACCTCGTGCAAAAAGGGTGAATTCAAATGGTTAACTATATTGTGCCAAGAGGCACTGATTGCCTGCTGACCCTGACGCCCCCATCTTGTTAAACTTAATGATGGAAGCAATTCAGGCTGAATAGTCAAAATAAATGTAGAAAGTTCCCTATAGACAAAGACTCCACATGCTCCACATGCTCCTGTATGACTCAGAGGTAGAGCGAATAAATAATATCCTACTTCACAATGGCAGCACACAACTATTTTACTGCAGATTTCCTTCATGACCAAACAGAACCAGTAAAGCATTGTAGTTTGAGCTGTGGGTGGATATGGTGAAAATATAATGTAACAGGACTAATTATGCTATTTGCAATGCAATATGCAGTTGGTCAATGTTCATTAAGTACTGATGATATCAAGAAAAGCATATTGTGGTGCAATATATCAATGTAATGATAAAATAGCATCACATTGCCCATGAATTAAGATATTTTCACAGTATATGATAAACAGGTTGGAACAGACAACATGTGCCAGCAAAACAGGAATGTCTAGGATTGTCATGATCATGAATTTGTAACTGATGATTAATTGTCATTTAAATAATTGCATTTAATGACTTAGTTGTCTTTTTGTTCACTGTATGCAACTATTAAAGTGGAAGCCTGAAGTTTTTGTAAGATTCATGTTTCATTAAAACCATTTTCTACTCCATATAATAGTGAAACTGTGGAGTTGCCTTAGTGAAACTAAGGCAATTATGTCATAATTATGACAGGCCTCACTAGTAATTTAACAATGAAAAGTTATGAGTACAATGACATTTTTGGAATTTCATGTTTAAAAAGAGGAAAAATCAAACAATTGGTAGCTTTGTAGCATCTTTAATATTTGTGCTATTTGTGCTATTTGTGCTTAAGTAGCATGAAGAATAATTTGGTAGGATAATTCTGCAAATTATGTTTATAATAAACAAATATACAGTTCACTCACTGCATGGTAAAATGGTAGATTTTCATGGCTAATAAGGAGAAGGTTTGAACGACCCTTCGAATGAGATAATCCTAAAGTTCACAGTTAAGCTAACACTGAAGCTAAGAAAACTCATGTACTGTAACGCTGTTTAGTATTAGACACAATTTTAAAAAGAATGTTAGCAAATACAAAAATACAGTTATGATGTTTAGCTTTAATTTAAAGCAAACCTTTTTCAGCTTCTGCTGAAGTAACACCTTTCCAACAATTTATAGCCCAATAATTCTGACTAATTTACTGCCACTGTCGTTCTCACTGCAGGTTTGTTCTCATGAGATTTGTCTGAGTTTTCCTTCGCTTGACAGAGGAGGCAGCACTTAGGAGACAGTTATGATTGGCTAAATTGTGTGTCAATCATTATTTTGCAAACAGTCAATTAGTAAACATAAATTAGCATGATCAGATATCCAATCAGATATGTTTTACTATGCAGTTTGTGTAGTTACTATATGCTGGTTGTTGTTTACAGACTTTCTGTAATTGGTCTAAATCTGTATTTTTATGATCTATGCAGCTGTTTAGTGTTCTAGAACTACTGATGATACTCACAAAAGTATATCTTGACAGTTTATCACCATAATGATAACATATCATCACATTCTTCACTCCTAGATGAGTGACATCTGTTGCTGTGGGAGGTTGCTGTGTACATGCAGCTAATAACTGCCCAGCCTGTCCACCACTGACGAAACATGGAGCACATCTCATCCAAGGTTAGTTCATTTTAAAGCCACTCATTTGAAACCCTCTAAGACTGTGGCAG